AATCGAAGAGTATAACCGTTGACTTAAACACGTTTTTTGGTTCGGGGTAGTAAACCTTGCGTTAGGAAGCGTTCCTGAGAAGTGGGTTGATATATCAGTGATATTAACCTGTGTCGGTATTTCAATTCGACTAAAACCCACTGATTTTCAGAAAACTAGTCACCTATTTCATTTTAAAACTGCTGGTCGACGTTACGCAACAATGGATTGGATGATAATTTTATCTAAGTTTATATTACACTAAACATGACTAGTATGGTGACCCAAGTAATCTTTCAAGATGTTTAAGGTGAAGTTGTTCAATGAAGTGATCCCAGTAATACACTATAAAAGTTGACGTTGAGTTCATAATCTAATTATTTACGAGTTGAAACCAAAATGATTTTCTGAAAAGATCAATAGACTTACCCTAAATTATAGCACTGGATTCTCAATCTTTATATGTGAAATTTTGTCACAGAAAATACGATATTCTAAGTTATTAAAGTAGGGCGTAAAGATGCTTTCGACCCAAGAAAATAGTGTTATTGTATTGACAGTGAAGTTTTAGAGACAATATAGTTTTTATAAAATGTTTGTGTATTTGATCCTAGACATTCCCATACTTGGTCACTGAAGGATTGCTTTGTTGTTGTTGGTTAGTGCATTTCCAGTTGTTTACGGATTTTTTGTCATTACTCATCTTTTAATTAGAACATTAATATTATATTCTGTTACAATGGAAAGAATTGAGCACTTGTTGGTTCTCTTATGACCTTAATTTTGCTCCTTAGTGTCAACTGATCTTTTAGTAATGTTTTGTGTCAATGAAATCCTGATATGTACCCATATATACAAACAGCCAGTTCTTAGCTTCCAGAAATTCGATTGAAATTTGGGACGTTATTCTGTTAGCATATTTTTTGTTTGACCACCTCAGTTATCTACGTTTTTTCCTCCAAATCTATTAAGTTGTCCATAACATTTCATTATTTACTTGCTATGAAGTTAGTACTCATACACTGTAATTAGTTATTCCACAAAGATTAAGTTTGTACATGAAGTAAATAAATTACTTCGACGATATTTTCCGAATTCACAAAGTGGTTTTTATTTAATTCATCTTCGTTGACTTTTAAGAAAGTCTTAGTGCGGAAAGTTTAGTTACATTTTCTGTTCATTCTATAGTAAAATCGATAATCCATTTTGTAATTTCATTATTTTACATATAATTTAGCAAGTAAGTTTTTCTATCGAATTTTCGATATTGCATGCGAAAATAAATATATTGTGTTAGACAGTTGGCGGTAGCCGACAACACACCATTGACTACGTTTCCGCGCTAGTTAGGACTCTCCAGCAAGGACAGTTTCCAGTTTTGGGGAAACTAACGTTAGTCGTGGGCTTCGTAAAAGCATCACCGTTCAGCCGCCCTACATCTCAAAATAATGCACATGATGTCGATTCACTTAGACTGGTGAAAATACTACAGCTAGACTGGTAGAATTCCATCAGCGTTAAAGGACAAGATAAACGTAACACTGGTCTTTACTCAGCGATCAATCCGTTTTAAATACGTCAAGTGTATGTATTTCGTTTGATTAGATTTGATATAGTTTGTGCTTTGAGCTGCAGTTTAATAAACATGGGTATTTATTGTCATATTTTGTACTTACTACCAATAATTTTTCTTTTTAAAAGAAACAGCATTATGTGTGGATATGGATTTAATGCTCAAAGATTGAATTTAAACTCAGTTTTCTATCTTAGTTTCACTTGTAGCGTTAAGTAGCCCCCCAAATCAATAACTCCGTAATTCTTCGACATTAGATGCTGACCACATTAATTATAATGGACTCACCCAATGGAAGGTGCTCGGTCATGCATGCGCACCAGATCACGAGTGGGTACACTGTGCTCAACTCCTCCTACAACCGCTAGCCAGATTAGATCAATCACTTTTCTATATATTAATGGCCCATCAATTGTATCTTCAAACGTTTCCGCTTCTGATTTCACTGGGCTGGCACGTTTCGATTACAGGTGTTACTGCTTAAGATGTTGTCAAACTCTAATTGTCCATCTCAACCATAATTAACCTGTATAAATATAGTGTAGTGGTAAATAAATCCCGAAAAATTAATAGCTCTGTAAGTTTTCGACATTGGATGCTGACCGCATGTTTTAATGGACTTGTAACAGCTTAGGTTGGTTGGTTAAGAATTGACCAAGCATATGCCAAAACAGTATAGTTCAAGTACTCATTCACTTCCTTATTTTGCATAGGCGTTATATTTCCTATTATCTTATATTGGATGTTGAAAGGCTTTGTTTGTCTGAGCAAATAATCCCACGCTCCGCTGCGACTGCGCGAAGATCTAAATAAAGACCTATTCACTACTTGTCTGGTTTCTTCTATCAATAGCACTAGGGTTACCTTAAGGCACGAAAGACTCACCTAGCTGAAGACGCTCGGTCATGCATCCGCACCGCATCACGTGTGGGAACGCCGTGCTCAACATCTACTGCAATCGCTAGCCAGATTAGATCAGGCGATTCTCGACAAATTGATAGCACATCAAATATATCTTCGAACCTCCTCGCTTCTGTCTTCTGATTTTGGTGGGTACGCTTCGTATTAGAAGGTGCTACTGGTTAAAACGTTTTCAAACTCTGAATACCTGTGGCATCCTCAATAGCTTTCGGCCATCAATTTCTCAGTGAGCCATTATTGTTTACTAACACTAGATCTCTTGGCTGCAGATTTCTTCTCACTTCCAACAGCTTGGGTCTCACCTGAGGGGTTGGTAGGTACTCCCATATTCATCTGTTTCAGAATAGGATGGCTAATTGTTGCGCTTCTTTCCTTCTCCTGTTATACAAGCATGTTTTGCTTGTTTGTGCTTCATCGAATGTTACACCTCTACAAACTAATATTTACTTGGTGTAACGAGATCCATATTATCACAGCCATTAACTATATGTACGAATGACCAATCGTTCAGTAATACTTCATCCGCTCTTAAAAACGTTTCCGAAGTCTCATCCGTCAACACTTTATGAAATAGTAGTGATCGCAAAATTCTTATTTTTGACTTTACGATGCGTTTCCAAAAACAGCCTTGGTGATCAGCTCTCGAATTGTTAAAGCACCATTCACAACCTGTTTCAAAAAAGGCATTTGCTTTCTTATTGTGGTTTCATCTACATGCAGTCTGTCTAAGACTGTCACCGGCTTTTTTGGAGCTACTAGATACACTCTTATTCCCAACTCGTAGAATGGTGCCTTTCTTAATACCATGTACGATACCACGGCGAATATGTATTGCTTGCCTATTTGAATCCCTAGTTTCTGCCCTCTTCGTCACAGTGACTTTTGGTTGGTGACTTCCTTTTCCTTTGCATGATCTACGATGAGCTATTGACCAAACGCTTCCTTGAGAATCTCTAACATCTTACAATAGCATTTTTCTGGTTCGAACAAGTCACAATGTCCAGTAGTAACTTTGGCTTCACCATCACAATAATGAATCAACTAGTTTGGCCTAGATCGGAATCCTACGCTTTCATCAAAACAGTTTTCAAAATTCCTTAAGAAACTCCAATAGTTCGTGGGATTACCATCAAACCTTATAATCTCTCTTTTTGGTAGGTCTAAATCTCTAGATATCAATGTTATCCAGTCCTTTCCAGAAGGAACTTCAACTGCACGTGAGGCGGATGTAGACTCATACGACATAACCTTGTCAGTCACAACTTGACTATAATATCCTCTTCCTTTTTGACGTAACCTTTCTAGCTCAATTTCTCTTTTTATTCCAAATAAACATACTTTAGCTAATCCCAGTCCTAACGAGGTATTTAATCGGTAGCCGTTTCCTTTAAATTGGTTATACCTATGAGTTTCTGCATGTCGGAGAGACAATTCAGAGGTCTGTTTAATCTTGTAGGTTTTATCCGTAGACATTTGACAGAACTCGACGTATGAATTTCTGATGAATTACTGTCGGAAACTTTGTAGGAAGCGATTTCCTACAGATTCAATTCCAAACTATTCGTTCGTACGTGTTTTACGTGTCACCGAGTCGATCTATAATACGCTGCTCACTAATCTTTCGATCAAGGACGCAACAATTAGAACAGGGTAAAAATCGACCCAAGTTTAAAGTCACAACGCATTGTCACACGACTTGTCGACATATGAACTGAAACGCTGCTGCTGAAATGTGAGGGTCAAGAAATCGAACATGTTGTAGTATGACGCAATCCAGAATATGCAGTGGATGGCCCCATTCTAATTAAACTTCAATCCTGGTCAAATGGGTGTAAAAGCCTTATAGTAAGTGACTTTAACCGAGATACAAAAGTAAGTAAGTACAACATAGGGGGTGAGTCTTTGCCTGTAGACAGGTATAGCAAGGATCCTGGAGTGAAATTGATTTGTCATCCTGAAAATACGGCTGATCGCCGTGAAGTCGCAACTAAGGAGTACAGAACCTCGTTTAAAAGGTGATTCGGACATCATGGAATGAGTACAGGAGGCAGCTACGCGTGTGACTTCAGAACTCCGGAGCTTGCCATATAAATCGCGGCTTGATAAGCCAGAACTTATTACTCTGTCCTATGCAGATTAAGAGGTGATCCGACTTTATTATATAGGATACTAAGAAATAATTTTTGACCTGACATATTTGCTCCTTTTCTCCCTACTTGACTATAACAGCTCAGAAGACACAACAGGCGAGTAAAAAAATCCATGAATGAACAAAATACTCGTATCATAATGGTTTTCACAATGGTTCATCAATTCTTGGAACCTGTTATCCAAAGAAGTTGTGTTTCCTCTTCAGTTAACTCATTCATGAGAAGAGTAGACACTCTCAGAAGCTTACTAGGAAAGCATTAAGACAGGCCACAGACCTTCTGTCCTAAGTACACAAATCTAAATCTGAATGTGGATTCATGGTTATCAGTATGTTGAATGAACATAATCTGATATTCATTTTGAAACACGGTTTAACTGAGTATATGACTGTCTAGTTCCATTGATCACCTTTTGCTCAGTTATGTGACCAATTCAAACGTCTTACGTGTGAATGCATACAACATTACTTTGTTTAGCTGTCTGTTTATCTACCTCTCTGCCGATCATATTTAATTATTATATTGGCCTTTACACACTTCGGACACGCTGACTATCTTGAGCTAAAAGGAATCCTTTGTGATTCATTACTATCACACAGTAGCTCGTTAAGAAGAAGCTTTCTTTATCCCATTTGAACACTTTTAAAAGAGAACCTGAATCTTCATAGAAATACTAAATCCAAGGATAGAAACGGATCACATAACCTATCGTGTTTATTACTGAAGCATGAATATAGCTGTTATCGGTTTCATCAATCCCGTTGCTTTTAGTTCTTACGACGTAATTGGCGCAACCTATAAATGTTTTGACTTTCTGGGCACCCTCCCTTTGTTTGTTGCGTTATCGCGCAGTTTTCATCTGATAATTCTAAGTAAGTGATCAATGTGTTATCGTATCAATTCTCACTATCAAAGTCAATTAAAAAAATATTAAGCTCTTAATATTACAGCTAATCAATAGTCTATCTCCTATATGGAATACGGTCTCATCCAATTTGTCTACTACCTATTCAATGGAAGGCTTTAGTAAATGGCTATGTACTCACGTATTTAAGCGTTAACTATCCTTGCCCGAAATATATGTTGAATACATACTCAAAGTGAGACATTCCCGTACTAGTTAGTTTTACCTTCACCAACCAACAAGGTAGCTTGACACCTGCAGGTTTTAGGAACTCTACAGCTGTGATGTAGATGCACTTATTCCTACTAAAACTATACCAATATCCAAATAACTATTGAATTAGTTTAATCTAGTACAGCAGAGTGGTTGGGTTACTGTCACTAGACTCCTAATGACCTAAAACTGTCTTTTGAGATAAAGATGAACTCAAAAATACCGATTCGTTTGTACTACCTCGTTAGAACGGACTTTAATGAGTCAGATATCGGGGTTTTGATTTGATCGCTTAGGATCTCTCGTGAATAGGATCTAATTGCTGATTTCTTTTGTGCTCATCTTTTGTTACTAAATGGCGACTTCATAATTTGTGTCGCTACGCTGAGGGTAGTTCATTATATTGGTGAATGAACTCACTGATTGTCTTGTCCGTTTAGTCTGTTATCCATTTAGATTAAAATAGTTCATGATTAAGTGGATGATTGTTCGGCTTCCCATTGAAAATGGTTGTTAATATAACTGTATCACCAGCCAAAGTATCCCCTTGTGTAATAATAAAGACGTTTTTAGCTAATTTACTGCTCCTTCATCAGGAGTTTTGTTTACTGTTAGAGTTCTGTCCTCTTCCCCACTTTCTTTATTAAATGATGTAAAAGTTTGTCTTGATAAAGAAATACTTGGTGGTATACTCTACAGTAGTTGTGAGTAAATATCAAATTTATATCATTATAAACATTCTAGCCCTTAAGCAAATGAATATTATGGATCACCAAAAACGTTCAAAAGTTTTTAGTGACCACTGTGTAAGCAGGTAGATCTTAGGTCATCAATAACACTAGTCCTTACATCACTGTGAGTTTTCATGGTAACTCAGCAATATTGATAGCATGACTGTTCCGACTTAAATAATTCAAAGTAATCACTAGACTCATTGTCACACCTTTTGGCACGGGATAGACTGAACTATCCGGTTATTTCACTTGCTGTGTTTCGAAGCTCGTGAGCTTCCTCGCTTTTGTATAACCTTTCGTTTCTCAAAGTTTCTATTTATATCGAAATTTGTGACGTCCTGAGGGTGGATAATTCACTAATGTATAACTGACATAAAGTTCTTATTGGGAATTTTTCTCGAGAAACTTGGCTTAACTGTTGTCTATAAATACAGAGTTGTTAGTACAAAATATTGGCACAAATGTAAATATATAACTGCGGTTAAGGAAAGTAAAACTTAACTGGAACTCAACAGCATTAATCAAAGTTACCGATTATTGATGTGAAACATGTCAAAGATTGTACGCCTTGTGACTGGAGTCCTTTAGGTGTTAAAAACTAATGGTTAGTAGATCTAGGTAACATATCTCTGTATCTATCGCTGAAATGTGACTTTTTCGTTCTTTTGTCTACTGTAACCCTTCGACATGTTACCCTATTTATCCAATTGTTGTTCATAATACTTGGGTTGTTTTCCTCTTGACTAGTGGGTTGCATGTGATTATTTAGTATATGACACATCAAAGATATAATGCAAACGAATCTCTATTACCAAGACCAACTTTTGGTGATTACATCTTGACAAAAAGTCATAATTATTTGAGTTTTGAATGCATCGTACAATATTTTCTCTTATCATTACCTATTTCTATGTATCTAGTGGGTCAGTGATAATTTGTTTAGTTTACTATGTTTTTTGTAGATGTTGCTAAAACTTTAATATCATGCCGATAATGATGAGTTTGAATGCTAAACTTATTAACTAAAACTAAATTATTTCATCCTAATTCTGAGACATTCGTTGGATTTAGAAATTTATATTGGTAAATATTTCGTATATTTTTTATTGTAATGAATTATGTACGTCCTTGTATATATGTGTACATACGTCTATTTAACATTCTTGTTTTACTTTTACATTTAAGTTTCATATTCTAACTAATATGTTATTTTATGCTTACCTGGTTTGTGCGCTTCATATAGAATAACCTTTCGTTGGAATTAAAGGAATACTTATTCTTAATAATTCTCACAAGAAATGGGATCTCACTTTGGTGTAGTACAACCAATTTTCACGGGTAAGATGCTCTGTTATCAGTCTAATTATATAAATATCAACCTTTAGTTTGCTCTCAGTTGGTGATTAATTTCAATGTTTTTTTATTTTGACAGTATAAGTTAATGTGGAAAAAAATACACAAGAACATCAAATTGCTGTCACTAACAAATTGTTTGTATCTTCACTCAACTCTTAATAGATTCTAACATAGAAGTAGGGATTATTTAAGTATTCTGCCATATTCTATGTTTTTAGAGGGTCAACACGTTAAAATCTAAGTGCACGAAATTCGTTTTTACTGACAAATACAACAGTTTTGATTAGTGCAAAAAGTGACCAGTTAACTTTTCGTCAATACTAATGACTAATAATTAGTTCGACTTTAAAACGTTCGCCAACTAAGCTAGATCAGAGAATAAATTAGTTTCAGGGTTTTCACTTTAGTCTAAAAGAACGTGTGACCATTTTATTATTACATATTTAAAAGTTCCTCAGTTTTGATAATCTTGAATGTTCTTAATATCAAAACGTGGCACTAGTTCATGAATTCATTAACTGTTGGTTTAAACTATTTTGATAGATCCAGACTACCTTGTTGAGGTCCACAACTAGTGGTTGAAGACTTGGGGTGAGGGTTCAAAATCGTTCGCAATGAAGCCCTGGTACGGTCGAGTGTGGGGAGAGTCAGACCCCTCCCTTCGAAATTCACATGGACACTCGTATACAACCACTGACAAGGAAGTCCTGCTCACTGCCTTCTCATAGCGAGGATATTGTTTACGAAATTGAGAGGGACGAAAAGCGAATGTCCGGCGCTCTAACCGGGTTGCTGGATAAGGAGATTCCACCTATGGGAGTCTGAAAACCCTGATTCCAAACCAATGGAATACAAAGGCCCCAGGATCCTGAGGAAACAAATGGTGTATGAACCTATTGTTGGTCACCAGCCACCATGGGACTGCATCGTCTAGCGTTGTTCCACTGCCTTGTGGATTAGATCTCTAGGTCAAAGGCTCGGGGATTGGCTCTCTAAGAAAACCACTTGCCTCGATTTGGGCACCTTGACAGTATTCTATCTCCTACACAAATTGAATGATTTGTGTGTCTTGTACCGATGTTTGTGTTTAAATAAATGAGTGGATTCACTTATCACTCTTTCTTGCAGTATTCCTTCATTCATACCCTTCCATTTTACCTTTTACATCATATTCCCAAGATTTAGTTTGTTTTCTGTTCTAAATTGTGTATTTTCTCCTTTCAGATTTCTATGAATTGACAATGTCGTATGCCTATTGGAAAGCTGGAAAAGCCAATGATACTGCAACTTTTGAAATGTTTTTTCGTAAAAATCCTTTCAATGGAGAGTTCACTATATTTGCTGGTCTTCAAGATTGTATTGAGTATTTAAGTTCGTTTAAATTCACTCAGGATGGTGAGTGAAACAGATGTGTCGATTAAAATTCTACATTTTATGTTATGTTATCTGCTGGAATAAACGTGATTTGTGGGTTATTACATCTGTGCTTTTTTATGTGTTACATGTTCGATATTAATATATAATTGACAAAAGTACTGTAATAGCTCAAAAATATACTAAAAATAATACATCAACCCCAAGTAAATTCAATAAACGAATATATATATATATATATATAAGCATTGCTGAAAGGTTCCATACTAGAACGAAACAGCTGTCCATTGCCTCACGGTTCTCATCGATTGTCTATCTTAGGTCAGTTCGACCAGTAAATTTTGAAATCCAACAATCTCCAAAGTTCCTTTATATTAACCATAGTAATATGTTGCATGTTGATTCATCATTTTTTCCCTGAAATGAAGTACTAGTATTTTACAATAAACTCTAAATCCTATCAATTTTTCTTTTATATTTCTAAATAACATTATTAGATGTTGAATATTTGCAAAAAATTATGCCATCAACTGTTGATCCCGATTTCTTTGATTATTTGCTTAGTATTGATACAAAGGGATTATTATTATGGTCTGTTAAAGAATGTTCAGTTGTTTTTCCAAAAGTCCCTATTATGCGAATTGAAGGACCAGTAGTACTATGTCAACTTGTAGAATCTACATTATTGAATTTGGTTAATTATGCGAGGTAATTAATATATGCGTATCTCTTTTTCACTATCATTTCATTCGAATGATTAATTTATATATCATATTTCAATTGTACATTCATGTACTCCACTTGAATATATATATATATATATATATATATATATATATATATATATACACCTTGGCACTACCATGGTGCATAAACCAGTCAGACAGTCATAATGACTGTAGAGCCTGGTATATATCTGGGTTTCCCCAAGTTTCCGTACCACAGTAGCCCGGCAAGATGAACGGTATGAATGAAATCAAAGTGATATAGTAGTAGTAATTATTATAAAGATGGGACATTGAAAATACAGTTTCAAACGACAAAATGAAAGGATAATACTGGAACTGGAAATGTAAAGGAAAGTAAGGAGTAAATGTTTCTGCGCTAATATGACCGATTCTGAGCCGTGTCACTCAATGTGTGCAACCGTTGGTTACGATAGTTACACGAACCTCAAGCAGGTAGTTTGCATCTACCAACTTGGTCCTGTTCATTAATCAAGGGCTCCATGAACTGATTATACGTTCTGGTTTAGCTTCTAATTTTCTTACAACTTACTCATATACCAAAGCGAGGCAGAATTGTTTCATCCTACATATCAGCTATTGAATACTGAATACCTTGACCAATAAGCCGCTGCTCAGTTTAATATACACGAGCATTTAGTGTCTTGTCGATTTTAAGGAATATTTACGACTGGTTTGTAGTATGTGATATATTTTAGAAGATATTCAAAGGACTATATAACTCGTCACAGGTTTTTTATTGAGATTATAAACAGCGGTTGTTTAGTCGGGTTTATGTGTATGTGGATATTAGTTTAATTCGATAACTACTTTTTTCAGTATGGGGTTGCGGAGATTGTTTAGCTTTTGATTGAGATCATGAATCGATGAATGTTAGACCACCATCGAAAACCTGGAAGCACTGGACGGCCGTTGCGGCCATCTTTCATTGTCTGAGGTAGATACCTGTCTCTACCTGACACGGATTAGTGCGCAAAACCGAAGGCCCTGGACTCAAATCCAGCGTGCGGGGTCGTGGATACACACTGATGAGGACCCTATACTAGGACGAAACGGCCGTCCAACGCTTTCAGGTTTTCAATGGTGGTCTAACATTAATCGATTCATGATCTGAACCAAAAACGTTCTTTTTTTAATTAAAACTAATATCAACTGAGGAACCATTGGAATTCATGTATGACTGAGAACTTCGGTAATACTTATCCGTAACTATACACATAGCGTCTTTAAACTAATCACAGAAGCCAAGTTCGAATATTTAGCGCAAAATAATTGTCGTGGACATAAATAGGTTTCATAGTTTGCATCAAGAACTGACCCTAGTCAAACAACAGTTCAAAACCAGGAGACTTTGGACAGCTGTTTCGTCCAGAGACCAGAGTACCCATCAGTGAGCGATTGAGTTGAACCGTGTCGTATGTGATTTAATTACCTACGGGCGTATTGGAGGATGATTGCTCAGTATGGTTAATTGGTGAAAGCTAGAGACGTTAACCATTGGAAACCGACTCAGGGGTCCGAATGTCAAACACTTACCGCGGGATCTGAAGGTCTTGGGTTGAGTCCCCTGTGGTGGGGTCGTGGGTACGTAGTATTGAGGAGTACCGTATCAGGACGAGACACGTTCAGTGCTTCTTGGTCTTATTAATTGTCTTCCTACGGTCAGTCAGCGCTATAAACCATATAGCTCAACAATTTTTAGAAACCCTTTTAATTAATAAAAATGTATTTCTTGACTATTTAATTTTAAAGGTGCTGAAAATCAGGGTTTTTATTTTACATAAATGACTCTAGACGGGATTAATCGACGTAAAAAGATTTTGAAAAGTCTTTTTTCTGTCGTCGATATTTGGATATCTCATATTTTGGTTAATTACGTTATTCATCAACGAAAATGAAATATGTTGGAGGCAAGCTTTTATCCATACTTCAGTAAGCTGCAATTTTGCGGCTTTTAAGTTCCAAGCTCCTATTTCAATACTATTTTGATTGCTAGTATTAGTTTTTAAGTATTTTATCGATGTACACGCATATATTTTACCCGTAGCCTAGTGACTACGAATGCTACACGTTACCGTCTGGCTTGTGGTCCAAGTAAAAAATTATATGAATTTGGTTTACGTCGTGCTCAAGGACCAGATGGTGCACTCTCAGCTTCAAAGTATGCATATTTAGGAGGTATGATTATTGTTTATTATTGTTAATACGTCATTGATATTATTATTATTATTATGTTCGTTCCACATATTCGAATTTTGAAGAGGGGTTCGATGTTATTAGTATTCATAGCGTTTCTATAGAATATAATTACTTATTGACCCGTAAATTATTTAGGACAATATTTAAGTAATGAAATATTACTCAACTCAGTAGCCAAGTACACAGATTCATATGTCAGGATTTAAGTCATTTGTTGTGTAAAGACAGGTTGCCCGAATGGGAGTTTTCGAAGTGTAACACTGCTCACTTTATTGCAGTGGTTAGGTCATTCTGACACGTTAACGATAGAATTTCATTCACATCGAGGGATAAACAAGATGACATTGGTCACCATAAATTGATCACTTATTTAAGACACATATGTGTTGATAATATGAACATTAGGCTATTCATGTGCATCTGTTATATCTTTAAGTTTCGCTAACCTCAAGTAGTGGTTGTAATGAATTAATTGGAACGCAAATAATAGATTAACAACGATTTTTTTATTTATGAACAGTCTTGATATTTTTGTTCAAGGGATGGAATCTTTTTAGTCAAAGGCACTACATATGTATGTAAAAAAAACTAGCCATCTTTTTCTGATGGTTACAAAAAATATTTATTTTCATTTCGTAATCTAAGTTATATTTTATCAAGCAAATCGTTTCACTTTATATCTACATATTTTTTACTACAGGTTATGATGGAACTAGTAATGTTTTAGCTGGGAAAATATATGGAATTCCAGTTGTTGGGACACATGCACATTCATTTGTGTCAGCTTTTCAATCTTCTTATGTAAGTGGCAAGTCTATGTCAAAACGGTTATATGTGACAATAAGTTTTATTTAACCAAACATTGTAGATTATTTTTACCGTATGGATTGTCATACTAATCAGGAGAAAAATGGGATAAGATAGTTGTCTTAATCCTTTTCGACTGCTCATTTCCGATATTTGATCTATAAGATAGGAGAGTTAATTTATGTTTTTTCTTCCTAATAGTGACCAGTGCTTGTAGCACATTCATACATCATTTATTCCTTTTCGAGCTAGGAGCATATATACGCTACCGGTATCAAATCTAATCTCTCTAATTAATCTCTGTAATGCAATCATATTAACTTACTCAATGTAGGCTTCTGCCTTACTTTTATCTCTTTTTAATTTTACTAGAGAAACTGCTGTTACTTGAAGACAGTAAGTAAGACTATTGTGGTAACAGTTAGAGCATTTCAAGAGAAAATGTACATCACAATTTCTTTCATCTGTAACAAAGCACTTTGAATGCAAACTTCGGTTACCGATGACGAGCTCATTGATATTATCATCTTTCTGATGGAGTCTTGTTCTATGAGCTGGATGGTTTGATTGTAGAGCTTTCATCGTTCTTCTGAACGACATTATCATCAATAACTTTATAGTTGAATTTCAATGATAGAATATCGAATACACGATTTTATTTCTGCCACAACAAATGGTTAGTATCAGCTAGAATAAAGTCAATGTTAATCCCTTTACCGCAACTCTAGTAATTTTTGTCGTTTCAAACACAGTGATTAATACATTAGTCTTGCATTTTCAGTTACGATAGTTATTTACAGTTCAACAGAATTATCTATGTATAATTAGATTATGAATAATAATTATTCTGTATGTTTGTATATTCTTAAAGTTACGATGTTTCGAAATGTTTCTTTTTGCTCTTAGGAAGGGGAATGTATAGATGATTTCGGAAAATTCAGAAGAGAAGCCGCCGATCTAAATAACTCATATGATGATCACCTTTTAGACTTAAACCGTCAACCCATGAAATTGAATGAATTTTTGAAACGTTGTTGGTATTGGTCTGCTAGTTTATCTCGTGTATTAAAATATCATTCAGATCAAATACATCCAGGTGAATTAAATGCATTCGCCAATTATGCTATTGCATTTCCGACAAAATTTCTTGGTTTACTTGATACATATGATGTGTTAAAGTATGTTTCTTTTTTGTGTTAAATTTTAATTTATTTTTCCTTTTCTTTCTGGATTTAATCTTCCTCTTTGAAAGGTTATTTCAGCATTACTAGGATTTACAATCTGTAGTGATATATGGAATAGATGCTAACAGTGGAATCCATACAACAAATTACGTATATATATGTTTGTTGTATTTCCCGGGGTAAATAGTTCAATTGCGGAGCTTTGATTGTCATTATCTTTAGAGCCTAATTTATACACAAAAGATTTACAGTTATTTTACATGCATCATATCACTTCGTCCTGCTGGCCCTGTATTCGATTGTCTGTCTTCGTAGCTTTTGTCTTCATCTACGATTATATTCATGCTGTCTTTATTTATTGTCCCTCGTTTTTTTACGGACTGACTTCTTCCGTATGAGTCCATACATTGGGTTCTAGATGTCCTCTGAGATTCCTAGTTTTCCTGATCCAGATTTTCGACTTCCCCAGTCAAATGCGTGTCCATTGTCATCCGCCTGCATTAATATCCGTGATAGTACATCATATCGCCTCACTGCTAATTTATGTTTATTTATGCTTATGTGCAGAGGGGAACTAGTTTGTTTAATGTAATATTTCTCGTTTGGTGCAATTTATTTTGTAAACGATGTCATTTATCCTCCTTTGCTGTTGTGTCTCGGTATACATACAATGGAATGAAGTGATTCCGTTGTCTTGTGAGGGACGTGTATATTCAGGGAGGGGTGCTCAGTAATTCTTTAAAGAACCAAAGAATGCTAGAAATAATTTCATCAATCAAGGTTCTTTAGAAACTTTCAAAAGAATTCTAGGAAAAGACAGTTTATCATTCTGACTACGCGCGTACCGAATTTTTTACTAATTCAAACAAGCGTTTTTAGGCTTTCGGAATTTCAAGGTCACATATGGCTCTTTATTTTCTGTACAGAAGATAAATTGGGAAGTAAAGTTTCCTGTATCCTGTTTCTGTTTTTTGTCCTGTCCGCCGTCCAAGGGTAGGAGTTTTCGGGACTAGTAAGCAGTTACGAAGTCACTGTATAAGTTTTCAGGCACAAAATGTGTGGATGTGTATATTATAACTGTTGAATAAGTGATAAATTTGTGACGTTTGAATTGACGAGTTCTGAGTTCAAGTTTCAGTATGGACGTCGATATAATTGAAGATACATATATCTGACATGTCTAAAGTAAAAAAATCTACATCCTGGATTCCCCTGTTTTAGATCGTCTAAAATCTAATTAAATTATTCAGATTTCGTTCTAGTCGGTATTGGGTTGTTACTAGCATTTTAATACCACCCAAAAAATCAACAACAAAATAAGTATATATGATAACACTACCAACTACTGAGATCTATTTTTATAATTTATCATATTTATAAGGCAGTTGTTTGGGAGAACAAGAAAATCGGTACAATATGAAGAATGGATTGTAATTGTCTCCACTCTTTGAGATGGTAAACCGATTGTAAGTTGGATAGTGTCTATTAGTGGAATCTAGAACGCACGTTTTATCCCACTTGGGACTCATCAGATAGATGTACCTGCATCTCAGTATTGATGTTTGTACTGAGACTCAAACCTAGTATCTTTCGATTCAATCAGCGAAAACCGTAAGCCCTTACAAGTAACATTTACAGTCTTGGTATAATCTAGTGACTGTCTGGATTTGGTAGCTCAATGGATAACACCCTGGCGTATGAAGCGAGAGGTACTGTATTCTAATATCAGTGCAAACGTCAACACTGAGATCCAGGTGCATCCATCTGATGAGTCCTAAATAAAATAAAACGCTCTTTCTATATTCTAATGCTATCTACTGTCCAACTTTAGTAAAAACCTGTGAATAATTGGAAATATTGAGGCAATCCGCAGAGAATGTACACATCCCAACAGAGACTGTTTAATTTCAGTCTTTAATATCAACAGCATACAAGTAAGTCGATCGTAAGTATACAACCAAAACAATAAGCCATAGAGACGTACAACACCATATAAACGATATATAAGACTGAAATAATATTAGGTATGGTGAATACTACTAACAAGACTTCTGGTTAATAGTATATAGCGGTACGTGGCGTCGGAGCTGTCACAGTAGTCAGACGGAGAAAAGAGTTTCAGTATGTCAAAAGCACGGCATAAGCAGAATACTCGAAGACCAGAAGAGAAGATAATTTGGATCACAGAACATACTGCAAGATGATCAAAGAGCATGTACATATATTATATCAACATTATAATTTCTCTCAATAAACATTCTTTCTGTTAGGACGGCTTCCGAGAACTACGACGGAGCCTCCAGAGGCTCTAAAGGAGCTGAAGAGTTTCCATCCAGTCAGAACGTGGTGGATCTCTAGAATGTCAACGTGGTATGCTACTATTGGACAGTAGAGTAACCAGAAAAATGCCGTGCTACAAAGACACCACCATATGTTTACAGATGGATTGGGAGAATGTACGAAAGCCAAAGCATTACTAACCCTTAAACCTGGAGCTACTCCCGTTTTTCGACCTAAGAGGTTTGTGCCTTATGCTGCCCTTTCATTAGTTGAACAGGAATTAAACGGCCTCAGAAAATGGGTGTTATTGAGCCTGTGAACTTCGGTTGGGCTGCACCAATATTGGTGGTCAAGAAGTCTAATGGTAGCTTTCGCTTATGTGCAGATTACTCCACCAGACTAAATGAAGCTCTAGAGTTTCGCCGGTACGCTTCACCTTTGCCTGATGGTCTCTTCGTCAAGCTGAACGGTGGCAGGTATTTCGCGAAATTGGATTTGTCAGATGCTTATTAACAAATCCCTGTATCTGATGAAAACAAAGATCTTTTAACCATCAACACGCACGAAAACCGATAAAGACCCTAGACTGCTCGTACTAGTTTATGCGTCATTGGTCTGGTCGATAATTCACTGTCCTCTAATTAGCGGTTTCATTACGTCATATATTGATAGGGCTACAAGGCCACAAGTTATAAAACTTTCTGCCCACGGCTTTGTTCTGCAATAGTAGTGATATGTTCAGTGTTTCGATTAATATAATAAGAGGAATGTTTTACTGCCGATTCTCTTGAATTTTGTTTGTTATTTTTTAATGTCTAATCACAGATGTTTTTTCTCGAATATTTACAAATCTATTATGCAGATTTTTTGCTGCACTATCTTCCTTGAACTCAATCTTCAAAAAGAGAGCTTTCTTTAGAACTGTAGGTGTTGTTTTTCAGGTCGTAGTTTTAATTTCAAATTTCCTTCAGTAAACTTGGTCGGATAGCTGTTTTTTGATGGGTACTTGTCGGAGTTAGAGTAGTTCATCGTTCATTGTACCTTAGAATTATGTTTTTCTAGTTCTCAAAAGTAAAGAAGAACCTAGTTCTTTTTCTGTTTCATTTAACTCAGCTTTGAAACTTCGTATATTGGCAATTTCAAGTTCGTTCTTTATGTATAAATCTTTGTAACGAATCATCTAGCCCTCTTTTTAATAGGACATCAAGAAAATGAAATTCCTAATTCATTTCTGCTTTGTTGTGAATTTAACTGACTTATGACAGCTTTTGAATATATATAGTTATTATCGGTAGCCTTGGTCATTCTGATTTTCTTTAATCTAAGTTACATTATATCTTACCTCAATGTTAACCTTCATTGCATATATGGTCGTAAGCAGATGATGAGAAACCATGAAATATAGGGAATCCATATTAGTCCACATCAATATTTATTCTGGATTTATTCAACTTCATAGCGGAAACCAATTGTGTGAAATTCCTGGAAAAGACAGCTTTTGAATCTATTTATAATAAGATTTAAGTTACTGATGATGAACGTGTCATTCATACATCTGCATAATTGAAAGCTCTTGATTGTTGGTTGAAGCATCGTATTCTTCAAATTAACCAACAGAAAGTCCCCTTGAATAGCGCTTAGTGGTGAACTTTATTATTTTATCCATAGAACTTATTATTAAATCTAAACTAAAGATTAAAGGTATATCTTAGGAGAAGTTTATTTAGATTGTGTTTTGGGACAACAATATCGAGGTTGTTGTTTACAGGATCATGACATATGGTGGGAACACTCATAAAAAGTAGAACCTATGTCAAATGATATCATTGTCTTTACGGTTGCATTGACATCAGTAATTGAATCACTAAAATCAAATAGGCCAAGTGTGATATATCTATCGAGCTAATTTCTAAATGTTTGTAGAATTCCCTCTTGGTATTTAGCAGTCCTATGATACAGTCAATTATTTACGTATTACTATATGTGCTTCAAAGGGGACATCTATTTTGTTTGCTTTTGAAGGACTATATAGTCTTAGAAGGAGTGGAAGTAACACGCTTAGATTACTTATGGTAAATTTGTTTATTTCTTTTTTTGCACATCTTGTAGATCAGGTTTACCAAATTTTTGTGCAGTTGCATTAGCTCTTCATGAATTTGGTTATCAAGCTATTGGTATACGTATTGATAGCGGTGATATAGCCTACTTATCATTGAAAATTCGTAATACGTTTCAGCTAATCAGTTCGCAGTAAGTAGATTAATTAAATTAATTGATACTTTTCTGTATTTTATAAAAATATCGTTTATATTTTGTTAGTTTTTTTGGAACTATGCTTTAGTAGTTCAAGCATCCATATTTTTTTATGTTCATCAAAGTTTATTATTATTATTATTATTATTATTATTATTATTATTATTATTATTATTATTATTATTATTATTAACATAAGAGTACTTCCAGCGTCTCACAGTACACTTAATCACTGCCCACCTCGATGCGTGAGATTCGCTGATGTAGAAATAAGTTAAAAATATTTAGGGACCTCCAAACCAAAACATAGCATCAGTCTATAAAGCTATTGAGCCATGTTAATAGGTGAAAACCACTTACTTGGGGTCTGCGTAATTATTACAACTAGTGGTTGAAGAAATTAGGTGACATGAAGGCTTGGGATCGGTTATGATAAAATAGATACACTCTTTTTTTTTACCCTGGATCTTGGGGATTAAAACTACTTTATATTTCCTGTAATTTCATGTAATCATTCTTTCTTCTTGAATCATATTGTCTATACTCCATTTTTCCTGTTGCCGCCTATTCTTTTACCAATTCCCCTACTCTGGTGTTCGTCTTGTTAATTTCAACTCGTTATGCTAATGTGGCGTGGCAGCTTGAACCAATGCTTATATGTACAAGGCTCTACGTTGTTTAGAACTAACAAGGGACTATTGGTCATTTTATTGTTGTGATTTCTCTTTTCAGATTGTGATAAAAGTATCTTTTAGGGATGAGCTTAAAACAACCGCGACGAATTTTCAGCCAGTTCTTAGACAATCAGAAAACAGCTTTTATAAATGGATAGTCTATGGAAATGATAATAATATTGCATAGCGTGAACTGATTTTACATATTAATCAGTCGAAAAAACAACGACATATAAACTAACCTTTATGAGTACAAACTGCTCGTCTCCTGGAACCTTTAAATAAAACCCAAATAGATTTCTAAGAGTCCCCACATTTTTCATAGTCAGGGCTAAACTTAGGGGTTTAGGATTGAAGTTTTAGACACGAACTGAAATCAGCTACCATGTAGAAATGCTCTGTAGCTGTATGGTTGTATGAATCTCGCTCAAAAATACAAGAGGCGGTATCTGAATAGTGTGACTATAAAATATAATTCCACCAGGCTGTTTGTTTCAAGATTAAGGGCTCAGGATTAGTGTCGTAACTTATGCCCTGTGTCCTATTTATGCATAATATATTGATACCACCAATTAGAGAACAGTAACCGAACCAATGATGCATAAAACCCGTACGAGTATTCTAGAGTCCTTATCGGTTCTGCTTCCCACCTAGCCCTGCCTGTTAAGTCCAGAACACCCGTCTCAGCCTCTGCGATATGAATCATTTATTTCAAACATACTGGGTTTATATACCAACCAATAAAAACACATCGTACCACAAAATAGGAAACAATATTTTTAAAAGATTTATCCAAAAGTGGCTGTGAATGTGGAAGACTGTAATTCATAAACTAGGAATAATTTCAGATTGGTAAATCGTGTTATAATAGTTCATATGTCAAAATAAAGCTCATTATAAGAAGGAAACGAATATTATACGATAAAAATATGCGTATAATAATAGTCCAAAAATAGATCCCAACAGTTACCATTCATTATTCTCATAGGGATATAACAATCAGAATTTAGGGACTGTCGATTTGCCTGTTATATGCAGTCTAAAGAGACAGAATTGGGTATTAAATACGTTCAACACTTATTTTTACGCTATGGTTTCAAAAAGTGATTTTTTAACCCTCATTTTAAACGTTTTGATTAAAAGTACTTCTACTGCTCTTCATACATGATGTTTTAATTTCTCACAAGAACCTAAAAGTTCCATTCTCGATCCTGATTGATTAATCTATGAAGCACACTTTTACTTCATATCTTTATTTATTATCATAATTTAAAACATACACTACTACTTAATTAATTCAAGTTGGAAATATAGTATAAGTTGGTTTACTCAACTTTCAAGGACACATTATTATTAATGGCTTTATTCAATATTATATTTTGGTACAATATAGAATTCTCAGCCCAAGGTTTTTCAACAAGTTTCCTTTACAAAAAGATAAAGGAACAACGGTTAAAATGTGAAGAACTGTACAGCTTTCCAAATTAGAGACATGTTAAGAATGCAGATCATTGACTAGGTTAACTAACAACCTGTTCGTCACATAGTATATTTGCTAGGTAAGGTATTATAGAACTTTTATACTTTTGCTTGCGTGCATGGATTTTAATGTAATTACGTCTTATTCTACCAGAACATATACAAGGAGAAAGATAAGAGTGAAGGGGATGGTTAGTATCTGATAAAATAACACCTGCCAGGAGTTTGCATGACTTTTGATATCTATCCACAACCATATTAATTATGACCTCGAAAGATTCACCACACACCTTGCTAACTGCCTTCAGCACTCTCCGCAATACAAAGTCTTTTCTCAAAATCCCAGGAAAGAATAATGGAGAACGGTAAAGAATAATAGGTAATATGCAAGAATTGACAAATTGTAAGAGTAAATGACAAGTAATTCCAAGAGCATGCAATCTCTTTATATAGTAGGTCAGACGGAAAACCTTCTTCGATAACAATTAAACGTGAGAAGGCCAAGAGAGATCAGAGGAAAAGGTAACACCAAGATAATTGACCTTCGATACTGTGTTTACCAAAGAGTATCCAATGGCACAAGCATTATGGGATCTCAAAATGGTGTTTAGATGCCGTTCATGTCTCATGCTAAAGTTAACAGCTTGACATTTGGACGGATTAAGTGTGAGACCATTACCAACAGACCAACAATCAATACGAGACAAAAACTCATTCATTTCTATGGGGTGTAAAGAGGAAGAGATAGACATACATACAGTGAGATCATCCGCTTATTTCACAAAAGTGTTTTCTGTGGAAGATGGCAGATCATGCAGGAAAAAGAAAGGAAGAGGTGAGAAAACAGCTCCTTGTGGTACACCTTCATGAGACAGAGACTCTGAACACTTTCCTCCAAGTACAATGTACTGTTCCCTTCCAGAGAGGTAGGAACATAGCCAGTTGGTTATCCAGCTGTCAGTGTTGACGCTGATTAACTTATTAATTAAACGTTGTCTTGATATAGAATCAAAAGCTGAAGTATAGTCCAGAAAAGCGCATCGAACATACTTCTTACCCTTTTCTAAGTTGAACACTATATTGTCATGCAGAACAGCAACAGCATCTAAGGTGCTTCTTTTGCACCTGTAAGAAAACTGATACGGATCAATATGCTCTTTTATCGCAGGCTGAAGTGGAAGTATTAATAATTTTTCCATTGTTTTGAGGAAGGGTGAAGTTATTGCAATAGGTCTAAATTTCACATTCTTATCACCAGATACTTTCTTGGGTACAGGGCTTATCTTCATCTTTCTCCACATTTTCGGTATGAGATCAGATAAGAAGGATCTGTTAAAAGATAGTCGTGAATGGATAACATAGGACGTCAGGACGCTTTGTAAAAAGGAGGTTTGGGATACCATCAGGTCCTAAACATCGGGATGAATTAATTGACTGGAGACATGTTCGGACATCAGTTTCAGTGAAACTAGGAACACAACTATTCTTTAAACCTGTGGATGAAAGGAGCACATTTTGTGTAAGAGTTCGTGTTACTACTTGGTCGCCTAAATTAACCGAGTTCATGCTCATAACTGTATTGGTCAGTATGAAGGGACATCAGTAACGGATACTTCTGTAATCAATTGAATAAGTTCAAAAGGTAATTTTATTATTTATTATTTTTTAATTTCATTTCTTGTAGCTATAATTTACCTTGGTTTGCACAACTTCAAATACTTGCCAGCAATGATTTAAACGAAGATACATTACATTCTTTTAATCAACAAGTATGTGAATTTATTAAGAAAAAAAGGATAAATCAAAGTTTATTATATGTAATTCTTCTGAAAGTGCTGTTGTTTTTTCTTTTTGAATTTCTAAAATGGTTGTTAGTTCACGCCTTTTAAAGCATACTTCGTTAAGTGGTTGAAGGTAATCAAAGGGAAGCCCCGCTCGATCTATGTTTCGCGGTAGTTCTAATGATCTAATTGAAAGAATTCGTTCAGCTCTTTAGAATACGCAGATGACATAATCCTGTTTGGTTGACACGCTGATAAAATTCACTCTTTTGGTAGCACTGAATAATAATGCCAGGATGTTTCGGATGCGTTTCTCTCCCTCTAAATGCTAATTATTGCTTCAAAACTGGCCTGCGTCGAACCTGGACTAATAATAGAGAGTGAAGTAGTCGAACGCGTCGACAACTTCACTTTATATTGGAAGTCTGATCAGCCCAAATTGGTTGGTGTCTGATGAAATCTCAGCACGGATTCAGAAAGCTCGTTGGTTTTTGCCAACTTACGTGACCTATGAAGAAGGCGATTAATTATTTATTATTATTAATTAAGGGACGAGTATAATTTGCGGCAGTTCGTTCTGTTCTTTACGGCTTCGAAAAGTGGCCTTTAAGAGTAGAAGATACTCGTAAGCTTAGTATTTGACTAAAGATGCCTTAGCAATATTGCTTGCATCTGCTGGGATCACTGGGTAAGTAATAGTGAAGTTAGACACAGGGTATTAGAGTGTGATGGTAGATCAGTTGATAAGGTTGTGAATCTTTATCGACTGAGGTGGTTGGGCCCCGTGTTACATATTTCTGAACACCGATTATCACGACGCGCAATGATGACTAGTGTTGGAAGAAAGTAGTGGTGACCAAACCGAAATAGGGCATCAGTTCATAAAGTCACTAGTTTCTGGTTTGTTCCATGTTGGTAGATGCAGACTACTTAGTTGGGGTACACACGACTTTCGTAGCCAATGGTTGAAAACTGTGGGTGACATGGCTCAGAATCGATCACAATGGCGTCGGTGTATAAACTCTTTGTCTTACCTTAAGCCATGAGATTAAAATTACTGTATACTTTTCTTTCTACACACTAATTCTTTCTCCCTGTATCATATCCTCATATGAAATCTCTCTTATATATTGCTACCATTGAAGCAACTACTTCTATGAATTTGGTGTTCATCTTGTTGTACTAACGAGGTGTGGTAACTTGGACCGATGCATATACATGACTGATCCTACGTTGTAGATGACTGATTGACTTTATGAATACTTAGAATTAAAGGTGATATATTGTTCATCGAAATACTTGTGAATATAGCCAGAAGATTGATTAATAAGAGCTACTTTGAGCTATTGTTACAATGGTTAATAATGTGAAATAATCTTTCATCACTATGTTATGTCGATTTGAACACTGTTTTCGATCGTAGTAGGTTGGTATGTGTATTTTTATCTATCTACATCTTAACTGATTTTTGCACACTAATTAACTTATAATTTATATGTGTAACATACAAATACTATACTACTAAATGTGCACTAACCACTGAAAAATTTATCCATATTGCATTTTTCTAAATAATCCTTCAGTCTTTTAAACTTTATATTAGTAGTACATAAAATTTTAACTTGGCAAAGTTTATAAAATGTCAACTTACTATGGAATCTTGTAATCGTTTTCTGATGTCACAGAACAAGCTAAGGTTGAAATATGTTTTCATTATTTTCTTCTCTCTGTATCTTCGATTTCTACCTTTTTAATATTGATTGCTTTTGAGACTAAAATTACAAAGAAATGCTTCCATTTTCTGTTATCTATTCATTCTAGTTCATATTTCATCGTTAAACAAACACTGCATAAATAAATTCCATACCTTTTTTGTATACTGATTTGTGTACATTGAGTTTTTATTACTATGTAGAGTTTTCTGGAGGTAGTTTGATACTTTTAGCTTGTATCTTTATCTCCATCATGCTTTTTTGGGTATTATTCAAATCATCAACCGTTTAAGCATTCACCGTCATTTATATTACGGACTGACTTAAGTTAGATATCCACTGAAAACCAGGGAAGACTGGAAAGCTATTTCATCGTAGTACGAAGCTCCTTAGCGGTGCTCACCCACGACCTCGCCACAGGCAATCGAACCCAGGACCTTCAATTCTTGTGGTGAGCGCTTAATCTCGAGACCACTGAGCCAGTATTCAATGGTGTGTATGTATGGTAAATCAGTTGATGAGGTTGTGAATCTTCATCGACTGAGATGGCTGGGCCACGTGTTGCGTATGCCCGAACACCGATTACCACGACGTGCAATGCTAACCGGTGTTCGGGATGGTTGGAAGAAAGTTAGGGGCGGCCAAACCAAAACGTGACATCAGTGCTTGAAGTCACTAACTTCTAGTCTGAGCCATGTTGGTAGATGCAGACTACTTGGTTGGGGTCCGCGTGACTATCGTAACCAATGGTTGGAGACTCTTGGTGACATGACTGCGAATCGATCAAATGGCGTCTTTGTATACACTCTCTGTCTTCCCTTAAACTAAGAGATTAAAATCACTTCATATCTTTCTTCCTACGAACTAATTCTTTCTTCCTGTACTATATCCTTGTTGCAACCTTCCTTTGTATATTACCACCTCTGAATTAACTACTTTTATGAATCCGGTGTCCATCTTGTTGTGTTAATGAGGTATGGCAACTTGGACCGATGCATAGATGTGCCTGGTCCTACGTTGTAGCTGACTGACTGACTGGGTGTGTATGCATGACGTCAATCGATCCACGAAGTCGCGTTATCATCTCCAATTATCTTCGGTGAGTAGCTGCCTAGTTTTTTGCCTTATTGATTCAATGCATTTTGAGATATCGTATTTTCTATCTTCAGGATCACTCAATTGATGCATTTTGTGTTGGGACAAATCTAGTCACCTGTCAAAAACAACCAGCCTTAGGATGTGTATATAAACTTGTTGAAATTAATGGAACTCCAACAATGAAACTTAGTGCTGATTTTGAAAAACTTACTTTGCCAGGAAAAAAGTAGTTTATCGTTTATATAGTCAGCAAGGTGAGTTACGTTTTTGACTTAAACGCCTTCTAGTCATGACGTTTTCGCTCTCAGTTTTATTGTACTTATTATCGTTATAAGTAGTAAAACGTACCTTGATATATTCTTTATTAGTATCACGTGTTCAGAATTATTTATGAAACTAATGATGAACAGTAAGGTACGAAATTAAAAGGATAAGGGAAATTAGGTAATAATATCCAAAAATAGTATTTATTGATGAAATTAAAATGGGTTCTTATGAAATCTGAACTATCTTGTTCAGAGGTCAAATCTTCATAAATAATAAAAAAGACATATTAACGAAATTATATTACAGTTAGAAGACTGCAAGTGCGGGAATGCACTGTCGTCTAGATGGTGCTATAGTCTTTTGAATTAACATCTAACTGAAGTTTTGGGTACTTTCGAAAGTGATCATATAAAAATGTTTCCTTTTTATCTTAGAACGGTGAAATATGTGTCTAATTTTTGAGTGATACTATCTTGTTGTTTATCCTTTGTTCTAATTTTCCGTTCAATCTTCTCACTAACTAGATATCCAGAATTAAGATACTGACGACTAAATGCTAATGAATTTTTCAAACTTATTATTAATTTCTTCTACTTCTCTACTCTTTAGCAGTGCTCAAATACGACGCTACATTAAATATAACTTATTGATGCAAAGTTTCACAGTGGTCAGTATATCATTAAGCCATTTATTTAGCGTAATGCATTTTTGACTCCAAACTACCTTAACATCGGTGTTCACTGTTTAGAGGTCTCATCAATACAGAATGTCTACCCACTTTTTCCTTACTTTTTTATTACTCGAAAATTTTCATGAGTTCAATTTTCTGTTTTAATGTAGGTGAAGCATTACTGGATTTAATGAGACGTTCACATGAAGATTCTCCAAACGTTAATGAACGTATTCTTTGTAGACACCCAACTCAAGCATCGAAACGTGTTTTTGTTGTACCCGGGAGAGTTGAACAATTACTCAAGTTATATTGGAATTATGGAAAAGTAATTTGAAATCATTTATTTATCTTTAGTTAATTATTACCACAACTGTTTTTGGTAAGAGTATAATATACTGACGACCATGGAGTATTTATCAGCCAATCAGGAAATGGTGCCTTGTTATAAAACAATTAACAATACAAAGTAATGGAATAACAGTGTTATAACAGCTTTGGTCGTAATAATCAACATTCGCAACTCAAATTATCCCTTGTGGTAAAGAAAAAGGGTGAGTTTACACATATACATACATATTAGGAGTCAGTCTAGTGTTGTGAGCCAGTTTTATCACTCCATAGAGTTTTCATCACCAACTCTCATTGACTGTAGTGCAAAAAGATTAAGGTTAAGTATCAAGAGTTAAACTAGAGTTTTGAGTTAGATTTACAAATCAAGATCAGAGTTTCAACACAAATTGACATCAGCTATAATTCAATGCCATCCTAACTTCCTGTTTACAAAATTGAGAAACTGAAGTTTGGGATGTAAAGTGAGATTAATAAAGAGGACATTATCTAGCTTCACTAAACACGCGATCAACGATATCAAGTACTTTAAAACACAATCTGCTGTAGAAGCAGGTATGCTGTTGAATTTAGATTATGCACCATCTAAAATTTATTTTTTTGTTGCACAACAGATATTTTCATCGATTTCAAACATCTTAAGAACTAAATATTACTATTTTCCACTTGGCATGACTTACACATTATATATCGCTGATCTCTATACTTCGCTCAAAATACGAGTTATCTTAATTCTGATTTGTTAACCCAAAGTCGTCAGTATATTCTATTTTTTGCCATAATTTTAATCTGTGTATTTTAGCTAGTGTAGTGGCTAGTACTACTTCAAGCCCACATAGATTATTCTAGCTGCTGAACAGACTAATTTATTCATTTTTCTCAAACCACATTTTGATCTTGCCATTTATTCGTCCATTAATCCTAACCGTTCTTCATATGACTGTATGTGTGTTAATTGCTTACCCTATTCATCACGTGTCTGTAACTTATTTTTGTTTGAATATATTGAGTCTCGCCTAATCAAAACGAGTTGGCTCACTCGCCTTCTCCACTGCGCTTCACTTCGTTTCTCTGATTGTCTGTTCGGATCAATAAGTGTATGAAATATACGTATTCAAAATTCATTCTCGCATTTGACTTATCTAATTCGGTTATTCACTGACGCGATTTAAGCCGATAAAAATATACGAGGGTTGACGGCATGTATAGTTCGATATCAATCAGCATACGATCTAATTGGAGTCAGATATCGGGCCACTAAAGTGTGTTGCCACGAATAAGCAGTACTTTAAAGAGAGGTAAGATTGTTGTATTCTAAATTATGTAAATTAAAATTTTCACTTCAGTTTACGTATTTATTAGATGAACTGCGTCAGATTACATAAACTAGACGAAGTATTATTCAGTAATTGTTTGCAACGCTAATACATGTACTATGATAATATCATTTAAATTATCTTAATTTCATCTTACCCACTCATTCTCTCTCTTTGCTTCCTATTTACCAATTACAGTTAGTTAAACCATTGCCGACATTGAATGAATCTAGAGAATACGCTATGAATGAATTAAACACTCTAAGACCAGATTATAAACGTATAACTAAACCGACGCAATATAAAGTTTCAGTTTCGGATGAATTATATCAATTCACTCAAGAATTATGGCTTAGTATTACACCAATTGGTGAAATTAGTTAGTAATTTTATTCAACTTTTTATTACTACTGTTATAAATAGTTCATTTTTCTTTATATCCACCTTTCACATATCTACCTAATTTATAACAAATGTACTATTTTTTGCCTGCCATCATTTGTTTATTACTTATTTCCTTATTATTAGTAGTATTCTGATTAGTATTTTGTTTAAGTCTTGCTTTACCATACAAATAGATTGCTTTCAATACTTTTTTGTGATAAATTTGAAAGATACATTCAAAACAACATATCTATGTATTTTCGACTACATTTTCTCATACCAAATATTTTTTATGTATAGATTATGAATACCAATAAAAAATTTCGTCTTGTTCGTAAAGAATATTCACTTTAATTGCCATTTTGTTGTTGTTAAATTCTTTGTGGCAATAGACAACATAAACTATGCTATGAAATAATGGAGAATATTTTTCGACTCAGGTGGATACTTTTGGTAGTGTTGAATTCTTCTAACTAAATGTTTTATAATTTCGGAGTTCTCATTTTCGTTCTGGACAACACATTATCAGTGCTTACTACAAAAGGTTACTCGGAAAGAAAATGAATGCTTTACAACCAAATCATTGAGCTCGGAGACCACAACAAAAACTATTCTATGGAAGAATGTTCTCCTGAAATATCGGGTTTACCTTTTATATATACATAATATTAGTCAAAGTACCTGTACTTGGCTAGTGAGTAACTGTGTCAACAAACCCCTATGAAGCATTGTATTCTTATCTTCTGAAATTGGTTACTGAGAATAAAAATTATCTCCTAAGTGTTTCTATTTATTTTAGTTCCGACTAAAATATTCATATCTTATCTAAAATGATTATGATTTGTTTTTGAATTTTTCTGTCCATTTTTAAATCCTTGTTGTTTGTATTTTCAAGTTTATTGAGTTTTCACATGTATCACTGCTGTTGAGATCTTTATTTATTTATTTATTTGGACACATAAATATTGGTACAAAGGTGCACCAGATACATATGCGTCACACAAATAACGATGAGAATGTGAAGAGATATAGAGTGTAAGGTGAGTATAGGGAAAAGAGGAACAATAACGAACGAAAATTTTGTGCATGATAGTGAAATAGTAATAATGGAAGAAACAGTTCAGTTAGCAAAGGCACAACCAGAAAGAATTGTCTCAGTCACATAAGTTACGTTCACTTTTATGAAGAACGTAAAATAAAGTTACAACACGTTTGCCACTGGCTTCTATTCTGAGCAAGATCTGGTAACGTCTTTATCCAGTGCTGCACCATCTCTAAGACCACAACCGAGGAGTCTTGAAGTAGCAACAGAAGCCAGTCTTGTACAGTTTTCTTTCATATCACGACACCATATCGTACACTGACCACCTCTCCTTTTTTTCCAACCAGTCCCAGAGTCGGCAAATAATGCACGACGTAAAATTCTCTCGGCGACATTCGTAGAACGTGTCCAAGGCGCCGCAGTCGGTGTTTCGAGATGGCGACACCAATTGATTGCATGGTTTTAGTATCATCGCACAGTAAAATAATATCATCTGCATACTCAAGGTCAAAGTCTCTCTCTATGCAACAGATCCATACCACCACTGCCTACTTCCATCAGAGCAAAGTCGGGGAGGAATAGTTAGATTGAGCAACCCTGCTTACCTCGCTGCTTGGATGGGACAATAAAGAGAGATGGCTGTATGATTTCGCTCTGCCTGAAATGTTTGTATATAGGGTTCTCAGGATGTTAATCAATTTCTCAGACACACACTTCTTAAATAAACAATCGCAGAGAACAGTCCTGTCCCACGAATCGAAGCCAGCCATAATGTCAAGAAACATTAGGGCTGTTGGTCTGTGGTAAGTATAACCGTGTTCTGCCATTTGGCGGAGGGTGATATGGTCAATATATCTTTGACCAGAACGAAAACCAGCCTGCTGCTTGCGAGTCAACCCCTCCCGGGTATCGAGCAATCTACGAGGTATGACGAAATCAAATAGTTTGGACGCAACCGATAGTAGACTTATCACCCGACAGTGACAACTTTAGATTCACTCCAGGGTGTTGGGATACTCTAATTGCTAGGCCTGTGTATCCAATTCAGTCAGTCCCTTGACCAAAAAGTTATCACCATCTTTAAAAAGATCCGGAAGTAAGTCATCTGGACCTGGTGATTTGTAGTGCTTCAGGATTTGGAGTTCCTTGTGGACCTCTGTTTCGTCAGGTGGATCAGTCGTCACAGACCATGAAGAGTAGTACAGGCTGGTCTATGTTGTCAGGGCAGCAGACTAGTCGAATTATTCCTCGAAAAACTCAGCCCATTTTCCGAGACTTCCGGCAGTCATGGGAAGCAGCTGCTGTTTCCGGTTCACTAGCATGTCCGACCACCAGAATTCTCGTCCTTACGTAAGCTTTCTACAATTTCAGTACGTAAAATTCTTCGTTTATCGTCAAATTCACGGTTACTTGGAGTAGACCGACGTGCTTTGACCACTTGTAAGGAGCCTGTAGAAAGCCTTGTGAGAGAATTTCGAAGGGGGAGATCTAACTCTCCTCATACTCGACCGTACCCGGGAATTTCGGGGAAATTTGTAAATTTATCAGTCACTTGTTTAAATGTAGAGGAAGTCAATTATGACAATGAAAGTAAAAGTAACCAGGGAGACGTACAGTTTCTATCAATAATAGAAGAACCTGTCCAAACTGGTACAATGCACAATAGCACATAAAACGGAGGAAAGTTTTGAAGTCGACATAAGTGGAAAAGGGAAGTCATGATTGATAGAGTCAATTAGAACAAAATTGAAATGGTTTCTTACCGAAGATAACGAGAACTAAGTTTAAAATTATAGCATCGGATTTAGGCTTGTTGATCTAAAGGTATTTCGGTCACTGATCCAATGGAGCTAATGTTTAACTCCAACCAGTCCATTATATTGAGCGACTGCCGTCGGATAACGGCTCAATTTTTCCGAGTTTAAGCCTTCGCCCAAGACCGAAGGTCCTGGGTTTGAGTCTTATTTGTGGGATCGTTGGTTCGCGATGTTAAATAGTCCCATACTAGGACGAGACGACCGCCCGGTGCTTCCAGGTTTTCACTGGTGACCTAATATTCATCGGTTCGTGATCTCAATAGTATTTACTGTCAAAAAGTTACTAAAACAATCACAGTAGTTAACAATGTTAATACAGCTACATAGTTCAAATTTAGAGGACATTGGACATTAGTGTTTTCTTAGTTTGAGATTCATTATTAATACGCAGATAGCATGGAACAGCTACCCATTACCTCTCAGTTTTCAGCAGTTCCTTAGCTGAGGTGTTTTCGTATTATAGTTTAGTTGAGTAGATTTCATGGAGGCCGGTCCAATTTGTAGTTTCTATTTGTTGCAGATTGGTCTTGGAGTACCATGAATACTGGACAGCAAGTTCGTTCTAGTATGTGACTCCTAATCTGTGTACACTCGTCCCGCTAAATATCCAAGTCACAACCTCCAATAAACTCCATGTGCGCTTAAACTTTAAAACCACTTGGTTGGCGTTCATTGGTGCAATTTCAACTTCAGTAACTTTTCAGTAGAGCATAATTGTCACCCTATGACTAATATAATCTATAAGTTAGATCCACCATCATAAAACACTTTCAGTATTTGGCTGATCATTGGTTTACTTTAAAATGTTCCTGATATACTACTGAAAAGTGTTGAGTGATACGGTTCATATATGTTTGAAATAAAACACTTGTCGCTCATGCCATTGGATAATCGTCGTGCTATATCTCTGTTTAGAAAAATATATTGTAATATTGAGTAGGCAGTAGAAGTTGCTAAAATAACGTTTTCGAATGTTGTCGAGATCACGAACGAATTTAAGATAACCACTGAAAATCTGAACAGTTGCTTCATCGTAGAATGTAACTCATCACAGTTCAATCACGACCTCACCGAAGACCAAACTAAGGACCTTCCGGTGTGGAAGGGAAAACTTAACTACTAGACAGCTGAGCTAACATTCAATGTTTTGTAATCTTAATTCAATTAATTCGTGACATTGCACAACAGTCTCCTCTTGTCGTCAATCGGTACCTCCTTCACACCCTACACTACTGGATTAGACTAGTCACAGCTACTCGTTAGGACCCTGTATATTCCCTCTCGAAGCGACCATTTGATATTTTTATAACTTGGATCGGCTCATAATCTCAGTGTTACCCAACAATCTAATTAAACCACCATAGTGAACATTTTAAAATATGTTATTCCAGAACTTTATCACATCATTTTATAGAAAGCACATGAAACTATTGAGTAATAAGTTAATATAATCTCCAAATTGTTGATTCACTTAGGGTAAATTGTTTATTTTACTACATTATAATAAAAAAAGTGAACCACTTCAAATCCATTAAAATTTAATTCGAATATTTTGTTTTAATTTCATATTTTAAAATGAACATTTTGTTTATAAAATTTACCGATTCCTTTTAGTAGCCATTTTTATTCATTTTAATTAGCTATAAATAAAGATTCATAAGGTACTACTGAAATAAATCAAAGTAGTAATTATAAATTTTAAAATTTAAGTTTGATTATATTTGACCACACAATAAAATAAACAAATAAATAAACTTACAAAAAATCTAACAAAACTAACTTTTCATTTTGAACATCACATTATTTCTTAGCTTTATATTCTATTAAAATTAAAGAATGAGCAATATATACATAAACAAAAAATGGTAATTAGTTTATAATTTGTTACTGTTGTTTAAATTTGTAGTCTGGTGTGTGCTACTTATATTGACATAAGTAGTATATGACGTTAGTCAGGAACAGAATCTCTGGTAGCAGAGAGACAAGAGGATCGAACAGTAAAGAATGGAAACAGGATGCAATTTGTATGAAAATGGAAGGACAATGAAGTCTGAGTCATTTTGAGACAACTGATGGACAATTTGCAAATTAAGCATTCACTAAATGATTGTTAGATTTTATTAGCAAGTCCTGTAATTTTGTGTTAACTACATTCGATTGTCCCCCACTCGTGTTCTGTTCGCTACAGTAGTAGTAGTTATTGTTGTTACATTAAGAATAGTAGTATGTTACATACTTCGAAAATAAATAAACAGACGTAATATAATTTTTTTTAAATAAACTGTTTCCAAACTTAGTTTATTTAAACAAAAACTTTGTCACTTTTAAAAAGAATGACCAAATTATAGATTGTTTTACTTGCTTGAAAATAAAAATGGTTTATTAGTTTGTGGATGTTGAATAGGTGCCTTTTTTGATGTTAGTAATCTTCTTTTAAAATGATATATGCAACAGTTGAAATTTATATGCATATACAGATGTGTACACACAAAATTATTTCCAAATTGTAGGTGATATGTATGCATCATAAATTGAATTACAAAAAGGGCTTTGGATAGCTGCTTTGTTCTGATCATGACTTATATATATATATATATGATTGATCCGTCAGTGGTTTGAAATTATCGTCTAAGTCACAACACTTGTTATTCCTGATTGGAAAAAGTTACGAACCAAAAATCGTGACTGTTTAGTTCTAAATATGAACACTGGAAAGCCACAAACCATTATTTATGAATTTATACCCGTTAAAGAAGTTAGCAAACATTTAGACTCAGTACTTCAACCAATAATGCTTTGGTGTTTGATACGAAAGTTATTGAGTTTGAGTTTTAATGTAAAAACTAACACTGGAATCTGATTTATCTAACTGAAGAATTCCAAACAGGACGAAACGTTCATACTGGATTGGACTGTTGTCTAAAATCCGTCAATTTTATAAATGTTTTACAGTTTCATAAAGTATCTAAATGACCGATTCTTAATAAATTAATAACTTTAGATATCATAGAGAAATTATTGACAAACTTCAGTCAACGTATAATTTAACTTAGTCTAGAACATTCTTAAAGACAGAGCAATATTCTTTTCTTCAGTGTCTCCGAAATTTTCTGATTGTTTACAAGAA